TCACTAACAGACTTGTATTGTGAGGTGTCCCAAAACATGACATTGAAAGTTATCTGGTTACAGAGAGATCAAGTTTATTTCTAGATTAAATAAAAAGATACATTATTACTTGAGGCAGCTCCAATACCGTGATCACAAGGAAGGTACACAACTACTTAGTGCCTTGCTGACATTAGTAGTAGTGGTATTACCATAACACCTCAACGTGTATTCTATTGTTTAGTCCACAAGTAGAGAATAAGCTTTGTAGACATAGACTTTTCTAAGAAAAACAAATGATATGTGTGGATAAGAGAATTGATCTCTCTTGTGACTTCCCTGCAAGTGTTGGGTGAACAAGAAATTCAGGATCATTTCCCTTATCAGCTATGGATAGGATGAAAACAAGGGATTGGGCAATTAGTCATTGCTGACAGTTTGATCAGTACTATACCAACACATGAGGAGACAGTCTGTGCCCTGAGGAATTTACAATCTAGACATAACACAGTTCAGACACACATAATGCATCTGGAACCAATATGAGCTTGGGGGGTAGAGTGCAAAGATCACTGCTGAAAGACTTTTCGGGAGATGTGTGTCTTAGAAGGTGATGTTTAGCTGATCCTACCTGTTACCCCCAAACTTTCCCTAATTTCTGCTTAATTCAATAGAGATGTCAACCTCCATTCACAAGTATCCATTAAACACTGGAGATATTTGGCAGGATGTATAAACAAGTCTATAAAAGGTGGTGATAAGGGGAAGATCAATCAGTTCATTGGGAATGGGGAATAAGGAGAAGAGTGTGTCAAGGGGAAGAGGTGGTCACAGGTATGGTGGCGAGAGAGAGATCATGGAGTCAGAGGCGGGAGCTAATGGCTTTGGAAGTTCTCAAATTTTTCTTGGATCCAGGTTACATATAGTCTTAGAGTTGGGTCTGGCCCAAAACCCCAGCTCCCAATGTTAGGAGTGATTGTTAATTGAATCTGGATCCAAATTTTGTTCTTGGTTTTATCTTTATAAAGAGCAAAGAAAAACCCTATACCCAAACATTGGAATATTAAAAATCTAAAGTAAAGATCTTTAGTATTAAATTGCCTCTGCTTGTGGAACATGCTCTAACCTTCCTCCTAGTATGGAAAACTACACACATCAAAATGACTGAACAGTACCAGAATACCTTTACGGTTTGAAAATTGGTTAGACCTCTTTCTGGGGATGGCAATTTACTGTCACAGAAAGTTTCAAATCTTACCTTGGAGCCAAAGTCTCTACTCCATGAACTTCAGGTGCTTGCATGCAGCCCCAGGTACAAATATGTTAAAAATGTTTTCAGGCAAAACTATAGGGTTTTTGGTAGGTATTCCCCCACAGCTCTGAAACTTTTACAGAAAGGCCAAAAGATCAACGGCTGAAAGCGATTTTTCATGCTCTCTAGGGGCTGGCCAAGAATGGCATCCAATTTTTATTTTTGGCAGTACTAAGGGCCATATCAGAAATTTACCTGGGGATTGAGCAATGTTCCTAATTTGCAGAGAGATGTGCTTAATTTTTTAATCCAACCATCCAGGGACTCATAGCTTTCCCAGTGTAACTGAAATTGCTGGTTGACTGAGTTCAACAATAAAATTCCATATCTGCTCTACTTCACCTAGTGAAGGAAGTAGCCATGGGGACAAGATCTACCTCCTACAGATGAAAGCAGGCTGCATTAGGCCGTCCTTTAGACAGCTCCAATTTACAGCTGTAAATTGAAGACCATCTGCTGCAGAGAGATTCTAACCATTGGCCACTTCTAAAAGGCTTGACTTACCTCACTGGACTTCAGTCTGCTGCCTTGGTTTCCTTGTCTGGTTCTCCATTTCATTGGCTTCTCATTCACTTCCCTCCTGCCAGCTACACATTGATCATGACCTATCTGTTTTTCTCCAGATGAATCTTTTATTGTCTGCAGTGTCTGCTGCCCTTTCTGGAATCTAGACCTTTTTAGTTAAGCCTACTCCACTCACTGCCTGCACAAACAAGGTATTCTAGAACCATGCTGACCTCTACTCACACTATTCAGTCTTCCCTCTTTTTCTCCTACCTGACAGGTGCTGCTACTTTGGACCCAATCAACTCCGACCTTTACTAGGCCCTCTGCAGTTAACCCTGTTCCTATAACCTGCCATCTGGTCTTTAGCTTGCATCCCCTGAGATTCTCCTGTTCTCTTTTCTGACTCCATTCTTCATCTATCCTGTTCTCTGTTTTGTTTTTGTTCTGCTCAAGCAAATGTTACTTCCTTGGCTTGCCTGTCAGCGTCTCTTGTCTGTCTTCTCTGGTGTGATTAGTTTTTTTTAAAAACTTTTGTTTAATTTTCATTATCTCTTCCCCACTATTTTAATCCAGCTATGCTGTATCACCAACACATATATGATGTTTAATAGAATTTTTTAATGCTTGCTAGTGGTACAATGGTTGCAAGCTAAATTACACACCTCTGCGGATACTGAAGACCTCTGATCTTCTTCATTCTGCAACCTCATTTCTCTGTAAAAGTCAGGAAACTACTCAAGTGGTGCCAGAAACTGCCACAAACCTCCATGGCTCCTTTCCATAATACACTTTAAATCCCATGATTTGTTAATTTTCTTCAATTTATTCTCCTCTTATATGCCTGTCTTCCATAAACCTACTCTCTACTAGCTTTAATAGGCTCTTCACTAATGCACCCTACCCATATCCTAGCCACCTATATCTTTCCTCCCCATTTGCTAAATCTTCCTCTATTAAAGTTAGGGTGACCAGAAAGCAAGAGTGAAAAATCGGGACAGGGGTTGGGGGGTAATAGGAGCCCATATTAAAAAAAGCCCCAAATATCGTGACTGTCCTTATAAACAAAAGACATTTCAAAAGACAATGAGACAAAAGAGATTTCTTTGAAAATGCTGAAAGAGAGGCGGAGTGTGGAAAGTGGAAGGGCTGCAGACTGTGGGTCTTTGTCCTGTACACAACAGACAGCGCGAAGCTGTTGTGCTCCAGTGCAAACGTGAGCAGACGTAACACATGGACACATGTACGGTTAAATGCCTGGCAGTCCTTGACGTTAATTGGAAGCACTGTGGTCTAGCGGATAGGGCGCAGGATTGGAAAGCTGGTTCTCGCCCTGCCACTGATCTTCTGCATGACAGTGGACAAGTCACTTGTCTTCTAGGCTTCTATTTCCCTGTTCAGTGTTCTCTATTTAGACTATAAGCCCTCCAGAGTAAGGACTGTGTCTCCCATTTGCATCGTGCCCAGCAGAGAGGGGCCTACCTTAACATAAATAAGTAGAAGTAAATTTCAAGCTCCTTGAGCACCACTCCTTCATACACAAGAGCACTGGGTAAGAAAGAGGTGTGGCCAGAGGAGAGCTCATCCTTACTATGTAAATAAGGGGTTTAGCTATGGGCTTCCATCTCAGTTACTTCTGCCTTGTGACAGAAATAAGCCAAAGTCCTGGTCTACACTTAAAATTTAGACAGGCATAGCTGCATCGCTCAGGGGTATGAAAAATTCACGCCTTGAGTGCCGCAGTCAAACTGACCTAAACCCTGGGGCAGACGCAGCTAGGCCAACAGAAGAATTCTTGCATCGCCCTAGCTACTGCCACTCGGAGACATGGATTATCTACATCGACCAAAAAAACCTTTCCGTCGATGTAGGAAGCATCTACACTACGGCCTTGCAGTGGTGCTTCTGTAATGCCCACAGTGTGGGCATGTCCTTGGTGACCCCCACATCAGAGCTCTCATTTAAAATGGGATCAGGTTCAGGGCTTTTTTGAGCCTGGAACAGATATATGCAACATTTACCCAGTGCAGTGTAAAGCCTCACATATACCACCCGAGTGCATTTTATTCAGATTAATCTAAGAACAACACAAATGCAGAACATGGTTAAAATAGGATATTTAGTTATGTTATGAGCTTTTATTTAAAAAGCACATTTATACAGCAATAATTTCGCAGATACAAACTTCAATTTTGTATTCTACAAAAGTCTTTGAATATTCTTCTCTTTACAAAATGAAACATTACAAAAATACAGACAATTTAATATGATTTTTTTATACAATTGTCTCTAGTTGTAGTTATTTTCATTAAAATATTACTACCACAGACCTACAATATTTTAGTCGACTACAAAAAAAAATTAATTCAATGCTTTTTTAAGCAGCAAAATGTAAATAACACAGGTCAAGACACAGTTTATAATCATAGTGGATATATCTAAAAAATTGTTTCAGAAATAATATTTTACATAGTTAATTTTTAATGTTTTATACATTATTTATATAATATTTATATATAAAAAATCATAGCTTGCTATAGCTGAAATGATAGGACGGATTGTGTAATATAGATGTGCAAATGGCCATTCCACGTGGTTTGCATGATCCCTTTTCCATTTAGCGTTTTTTCAAAGTTTTGAGATAGATCTTCAATATTTGTCTTTAACTTCCAACAGAAAGCCAAAAAGCTAGGAGAAGTAGGCAAGATTCTGCTCTCTTTTACACACTCTTGATGCACTTCCGATGTAACGGAGATCAGAATTTGGCCTAATGTCTATTGAATGGCTTATAACAAGACCCTAAACAGAGAAGATGAGGGAATGCTCAAAACTGTTTGAAATCCAGGCTAGGACGTTCCACCCAGCAGCCCGTCCTAAAACTGCAGAATCAATGTTCCCTGGGACTCAATCCCAAATTCATAGTGCTAACATATCTTCAACAAGATCAACCACTAACAACTGACATGACGTGAACTCCCAAAGGTGGCAGCAATAACACAGAAAATCCTTCTGCAATTTATCAGGGCCAGAAGTAGTGAAGGGAGCCTTTTTAAAAATTAGGCCATTTGTCAATTTTGTGTAGGCTTGATGCCTCGTACAGTACTAATGTCACCAGGTACGTAGTGTAAATGAAAAGATTTGGCTTCTAAGTGGATAACAGATTCACTCATGCTCAGTTTGTTGTGGAAACACCTTAGATTGTTGTGGGGGGGGGAGGGTTAAGTTTGTGTAATATGACCAGGCACCCTTCTGACATTTCTGACTGGGCAAGCTTCTTCTGAACCAACATCACAGTATGGAACGGAGTGAAACAAAGCAATATTACAAAGAGGAGGGGAGGAGAAAAGAGCAGTGACACTTAGAAACCAGTCCCAAATCTTGAATCAGTGCTGTTTCTTGTATACAGTGCTATATAATTTAGTTTTGAGTTTTTCTTACCGGCATTGGAAATCTTCATAGTAAAAGCTAAGATGGCCGGCTTTACATAATCGTTTAGTGTTCATTATGCTATGAACAATTTGGGTTCACTACAACATGAACACTCAACCAATTGCACATCCAGAATTCCGGCATCGCTGTTTGTTTGTTTTTCTCATTGTTGCTTTTGACTTAGTTGAACAACACCCATTTCATGCAAATGTTGCAAGTGAAAAGGCCAGAGAGTAAGACCTTATTAGTCGGGCAAGAAAGTCTCTCCCTACATTCTACTGTCTGATGAGATTTGAGAGCAGCAGGTAGTTGCTGTCAGCAGTCATTTTTGCAAAAAAAAAAAAAAAAAAGGGGAGGGGGGAAGGATTGTGGAGGGAGGAGGGTTGCAAAGGTCTACACCATATTGTGGTGATTATTCCGTTCAATGATGTCCACAGGTGAAAGGATATCTTTCCGGATTGGAGGAGGAGGCAGGGAGGTCTTCATCTTGGGTTTGAAGAGGTCTGACACATAAAACACCTGTAAACATAATTTAGAAATCAATGTCGCGACATTTACTCACACACTATTTGATAGGTTATCAGTGAGAGAGTATTCATGTTCTATTTTACTGCAATCAAATTCTTTGTGTTAGCAAATGACTGACCACAGGACTGGGACCTAGGAATTCCCAGCTTTGACACCACCTCACCGTGTGTCTTTAGACGCAGGGTCTGGTCTCAGAAGGTACTGAGCATCCTCAGCTCCCACTGGGGCAATAGGAGTACTTAGCACTTTGTAAGATTGGGCCCTTAGCCTACGTAGGGCTGTTTTCCTAGCTGTGGCATAGGCATGTACAATTCTTGACTACAAGCCACATAGGGTGTTGGGAGGTTAACGGATAATGGCTCAATATGAACTGTTGTGGGCATTAATAAATGATTGCATTTATACGCTATAAATAGATTGATAAACACACAACTCCACAGCTTAGGCTTGAAAGCTCAGAAATAAAGAGAGTTCCTTGGGGCAGGGACCATCTTTTTGTTCTGTGTTTGTACAGCACCTAGCACAACAGGGTCCTGGTCCAGACATAGGCCTCCTAGGCATTACAGTAATACAAATAAATAATAATAATAATGATAAATATTCTAGACTCAAAGAACCCCCCCTCCCAAAGTTTAAATCCTGCTTGCCTGACTCACACAAATAGCCCCACTGACTTAAAACGGTCTCTGATGGGCAATTAAAAGCCCTAAAGTTAAAACTACTCTACAAATGATGCTATCTGTAATGAATCGGGGCTGCTTGATATTCTCTGCTTTCCCCTTTTCTCATGACACATGAGCTACAAAATTAACGTTTAGTCCGGATGACTGTCTAGCAGTCAGAGTCCAACGGAAGGAGGAGATATTCCTGAATACCCAATGAAGTAACCACGCTGCCGGATGTGAAAAGGCCAGTGTTTGACAATTTAGGGAGGCAGAAACACAATAAGAAACAAAGTACTGGGAGGAAACCTTCATTTCCTCCTTGGCAGCCATGGCCTAACCCTTATCAGTCCAGCGTGACTGCTGCACTTTCTCCCTTACTAAACTTAAACCTGAAGCCAGAAGGGGAAACAGTCAGACCGTGTAACTCTCTGTAAACAGCAAAATACAGAGAGGACTCATCTTTGTTATTTACACCAGAAGTTTGATAACAAAACAAAAAAACAAAAACAAACATCAGTGACTGGTGAACACACATGCCAACAAGCACCCAGGCTACTTCACTGCCCCACTTTTGATAAGTCTGTGAGTCAGAATTTACCAGCTGAGCTGAAACTTATTTTGACACTGAAATTTGACAGCTGTCCATAGATAACGCATGGCGTTTTACTATAGCCAAAGTGATAGGGCGAATGATACTTGGTATTTTAATGTTTGCAGAATCATAGCAATGCAGGGCTGGAAAGGACCTCAAGAGGTTCATCAAGTCCAGCCCCCTATGCTGAGGCAGAACCAAGTATGCCTAGACCATCCCTGAGAGGTGTTTGTTCAACTTGTTCTTAAAAACCTCCAGTGATGGGGATTCCACAAGCTTCCATAGAAGCTTATTAGTTCCAAGCATAAACCAAACATTGGCTGTGTGGGGTTAAGCTTCCCTTAAGGAAAGGTTATCCTTTTTTAATGGTCCATTATGGGGTTTCTAAAGCATTTGGTGCAGACAGGATACTGGATTGGATGGACTAGTGAGCTGATCTGGTATAGCAAGTCCTACATTCCTAAATTCCAATCAAGCTGATAGGATGGCAGCCTTCAAATTATAAATGTGTTTGTATCTCTTCCTACTGCAGTGTTTGATTTAACACACTCAAATGGAAAAGGGATAAAATGCTTACATGAATGAGACTAGACTACACAATGATATTAGCTAGTCCAAGTACAAGGGTTATTGAGCCGCATGTTTCAGGGTGGTTTATTGGTGAAGACAGGAAGGCATTTTCCTTTCACTCCCTTCCCCATCATACAGCTGTCCAGATGCACTATTCAGCAGGAATATTCCTTTTCCACCTCCACCTCTTTTCTAAGCTACTATTGGAGACAGGAAACCAGGTTATATGAACAACTGGCATGATCTGAAATGACAATTTATTGCTACATCTAAAACTGAGAATCTGGGGGTCTGAATCCTTCACTTTTCAAGTTTTATGACTTATCCATAAATATTTGTCTTCAGCAGAAAAGCATAAGAGGCCCAACATTTAAAAAAAGTATTTTTTCCTTGAGTGAAAATGCTGACATTCAGATGTCTAGCTTAACTACCTGTGCCCACATATCTGCCGATTAGACAAATAAATGCTAGCATTTGTGCTACAGTAAACTGAGGGGGTAAAATTGCACCCACAAAAACAGAGATTTGGATGAGTCCTTTCTAAAACAAACAAAAACCACGCTCAGAATATCCCGACGAGAGAATGCATTGCTGTAAAATATTTTTCTTTTTTTGGTTGTTAGTACTCAAAAAATAAAATAAAATAAAATAAAATAAACCAGCTGTTTTGGAGTAATTTTGTTGCCATTTCTTTCACATGCCTGCCACCTATCATTGGATTCAATCAGAAAAGTGTCCAACTTCTACATCAAGAAATTCATGACAAATCAATTTGTGGGAGGAGGTAGGTGGCGTGCAAGAGGCAGATGGGGATTATATTGAATGTGGCTTTATTTTATAAATGTCAGTTATGGATAGAGTATTATCCTATGGTTGGTTGTTTTTTAGCCTTTACTCTGCAGTTTGTTGCTTTTGAGGGTTTAATTCAAATACTGGGTAGTATCTTTAATTCCCCTTTAAACTGTATTTCTCTCTAGCATGGCTTGAGGCTATGTACACACTTATAGGAATCCTGAAACATGATCTTTTAGGGTCAAAACAGTGTGCTAAATCCTCCTAATGCGTGAACTGTTTAACACTAAAAAAGGCTAATAAATGTGCAAAGTTTTTACTTGGATTTGTTCCATTTCCTGTAGAAGGTGCTTTCCACCCATAAAAAAAAAAATTGACAGCAGAGAACTGGGATTGTACTATACAAACTAAGTCAGTATCTTATATTTCCACTTAATAATCCCATTTCTTTTCATCATATTAAAGAAATCCATACTCAGATACACAATAGTAAAACAAACTAATATGACTTTTATGAGTTGACACCAAAAGGTATCTTGTCTGTTTAAATGTTTCCACTCATGTAAACTATGTGATACGTATTAATCTGCTTATAGTGCTATTTTGATTTTCGGAAATTCTCATCATATTTCACTTTGGAACCAAGTAAAAATGTTTCACCAGCTGGAAGTGCTTGACACGAACGTCTTGCGTTTGTTATTTCAGGCCAGGAAGGACAAATGTGTCTGCTACAACTTTTAGCTTTGGTAACTCTTGGAGATGAAACACACAACTGGCTTCCACGGAGAATTACGGCATGATTACTACTGCACTTAACGGCCTTTTAATATCAACAGCCTGCGACACAGTTCTTGAGTCACAGCGGAAGGCTGTTCTTCAGGCTGAGTGCCCTAAGAAATGATTTTGAGTCACCCCTCTCTGACTCAATGTAGTGTAGTAAGGAGTGATAAACCTGTAGCTAAGCAAGGAGGCCTTGAATGCCCTGGGAATCAAAGGTCAAGCCTGGCTTTATTATCTTAACCAGCTAGTAATGTAACAGAGAGAAAGCCCCAGTCAAGTGAAGGGGAAATTACTCAGTGTGCATCTCCAAAAAGGGTTCCATGACAAGCAGGAGTTTATTGTTCTGTGGGCTGATTAGCTCAATAAGGGCAAGACAAAGGGCAAGACAAAGAACTGTAACTTGTAATGGCTGATATTAACTAGCAATTCATTTCAAGGCAAATCTTGCCCCTGCCTCACTGGTTCCAGTGAGTTTCCAGCTTTCAGAACTGGCCTGAAATCTGTTTTACAAAGGTATAGCAGAATCCTGGGGGCGGGAGGGGTCATTAGGTTGATGTGGAAGTGAGAGGGGGGCTCGGATCTGGCGGGGAGCATAAGGAAGTGAGTTGGGAGCTCCCAGGCCTAGGTCCTCTTTCATAGGAGGGGATGTGATGCATTAGGACTGTGGAGACCTCAAGGTTTCAGCTGTGGCTTATGACAGAGTACTTACTCCTCGCCCCACTCTGTGGAGCAGAGCTGTTAATAGCAAGATGCTGCTGCACAGCATCCAGCCCAGAGAGCGAACCTAACAAACAACAAATTCTACACTTGATGCAATGATCAGGAGCTTTTCTTGTCCCACCTTAGTATAGACAAGGCCATAGTGGTAAGGGGTGGGGAGACAACCTTTGAAGAGTGGCTGACTGCTAGCCTACAAGCAGTTAGCAGCTGGGCAGGAGAGGGAGGAAGAGAAAGTGGAGAGCTTGGCGTGGGAGTGCAGGGAAGTTGTGCAGCCAGCCAATGAGAGCTGACCCTGAAGCTGCAGGGTGGTAGGAGAGATGCAACCCTGTGATCTCTGAGCTGTTCTGGGACATAGTGGTAGACGTAATAGATGTGGTAGCAAATTTCTAGGATCTAGGGCTATTAATTCGGGGTGAGTCTGACCCTAGGCATAGGATGGAACGGGAAGCTAGTGAATTCTATTATGAAAACAAAAGCCTACTGCTTACAAGAGAAGGTCTAAGGTAGGATTTAGAGAAAGCCTGATCCTGGGTCCTTTACTCATGTGAGCCGTTCCTCTGACATTCTGACACTTTAATTTGGCAGGAGGTGGGAAGGTTGCTTATTCCTACACCACTGCCTGATTCCAGCTGCAGGGAGCCCTGGAGTGACTTCACAGTGGCAACAGCCTAGCAGCTTGTTAGGGCCCTTGGCTCTTACGGCTAAGGGGGCCCCCAACCATCTCCCCCAAAAGAAGGGAAGAAATGTAGGCCCATAGTGGGCAAATATTAACCCTGGCCCTCATTTTTTAAACAAGTGAGTTCAGGGTTCCAAGAATATTTTAGCTGTTATTTGCACCTGGACAAACATGTGACAGGGGGTTGGGTTTGAATCCCATTGGAAACCCCTTGTATCATTTCCAGGCAGTAGGAACAGGGCAATGAATGATCAGTGCCCCCTCCACATCCGGGCAAGGAATGGAGGCATACAAAAGAGCGGTGAGTAGAATGGGTGTTCCCTGAGCTCGAAGGGAAAGACCAGGCCTGTTTGTGAAATAATGAGGCAGCTGCTTCCTATGTTGATTTACTTCGTCACAGGAAAATCAGCCTATGGGAGCAACATTCTCACCCTCCTCCTGGCCCAGTACAATTTGCCATCTGTTAAAGGGTCAGGGAGGAGACCACCAGATTTGCAACTTGTCACTAGACAGGAAATGTACGAATGTCTGTCCCTAGCATCTGGACCTCTATTGTCTTTCAGAACCCACTACTTAGATCAATATCGTGTTTCATCCTTTTATCATGTTGTTGTGCATATTCTTTTCCCCCTCTACTTGTGACAAAGCTTTAAAAAAGTGTCAAGAAGAAGAATATGTGGCTTAGGAAATACACGCATAAAAAACCAGTCTGACTACATACACGGTTAGTATCTAGACATTAAGCCACATGATGTCATATGAAGCACCTGAACTGAGAAAACCTGCTTCACTGTTCCAAAGGTTGCCCAAGACCTTTTTGCTCCCAGAGCTTTCAACAATGAGGTGTTGTTTCTTTAATTGGCTGCTAAGGGTATTAAAAGGTTTCCAAGGCTTTGAGGAATACCGTGAGATTTGAACAAAAGATAGATATGAACCATAATGATTTTGCTCCTGCTATGCATAAAAGAGGCAAATTTAAGAAGGAAAGTCACACACAGTAGTGGTCTATGTGGAAGACTTTCATCAGTTAACCCTTTGGCACTGGCGTTTAGGATTTGCTGACACTAAGCCATAATGGTGCATTGGCACTTGGCAATGGCAAAACCCAACTCCCACAGCCAAACAGGTTAATCATTTTTTAAACAATTAGATTACAGCGTTTGTTTGGGTTTTTGCTCAGGTTTAGCATTTTATCACTAAGTGGAAAATGCACAAGCAACCTATTTTCCACTCCTGAAAATCTCGAGTGAACTTTATTTCTTGCCTCAAGGTTTACTTTACTTCCAGATCAAGCAAAATAAAAAGTGTGTAACCTTTTGAAAACTTGGTTTTAGGAGTTTCTAAAGCCACATAATTACTTTAGTCCCCAGTCCCTTTGTTTCTAAACAAGATAACTACACTGAAAACAATCACGTCATTACACGGAGCCAGCGCCTGCCATTCTGCCTACATTAAACGTTTACATGTGTCACTTTGAGTTAAAGGACTGTGCAATCAGGTCACTCTTTGGAAAGTAAATTGCATGAGAACAAGCCAGGCAGTGGCAGACAAGCAATCATGGCTTTTGTAAACCATTTTCTCACAAACCTTTTTGCCACATAAAAAAACAAAACAAAAAACAACTACAATCAAAAGAACAAACCCAAGATCCACATTCCCAGGCAGGGAATTTTTTTGGTTTAACTCTGAAGGGAACATATATGTTCCCCACCTCCAAGACAGTCTTCTGGGATCTTTGATTCTGTATAGATCCTCTGCAGAGCTTTGAAAAGCAACACAGTTTGCATCAACAAAGGAGTGTTTAACCTTTAAGGAAAAACTGCCACCACTGTTTGCATGTTAGCCTCCCTAAGCTGCACTCATAATGTGCTTGGATTGGAGAGGGCCACTGATAATTGAATCCTTGCTAATCAGCGAACACACTGACGCTAATGCTGACAGGGCAGACCAGAACTCAGCTGCTTCACTTAAGATGCTGTGTGGGTTTTACAAAACTAGGGTTTCAGATGAGATTCTCTACGTTTTACATATGAGACTCATTTACAGATGAGACTCTCTACATATGGACTTTGATCCTGCAAATCCTTGGCTGGTGCATTTGTCAGTGTCATTACTCAGTAGTGCCAAGTAGGGGGATGCACTATGTGTAGCTGTCCTCATTGCAAAGCATTGCCAAGTGCCCACATGCCTGCTCCCTTATTTGCAAGGGCTCAGGGGTGGAGAATGTGCACAGCTGAGGACACAGGAGCTTAACCCATACTCCTGCTAATGAGGCTCTCTGCTCTTAAACCTCAGAGCAGCTGCTGCACAGGAGTAACCAGGTGGCATTGCAGCAGTTCTCTGATGCAGGATTGAGTCCTCTTTGTCTCACGTCTCACAGCACTCCCTACCTGCTCTGGGCAACATCCATGCCCCCAACGAAGACAGATTTTTAGAGAGTCATTTGGTTTACGCTGCATCTTCTACCCTGCAACCCACTTGAGAGAGCCATCCACCATGTAAATGTTAACTCTCAACAGCCCCAGCTGCCCTAAAGTGGCTGGATTCCCTAACATGGTCAATAGCCTCTCTCACAGGTTATGCCCCACCAGCATCTCCAGAGTTACCAGGATTGCCCTGTCATTAGTGCAATAGTAAGAGATGGCACTCACTATGCAGTAAGCCACCAGGGCTCCTTGTGCAAATCCTGCCAGCACATCTGTAGGGTGATGCTTGTGGTCAGATACACGGGACAATCCTGTGTAAAATGCCATCATGATCAGGGTAAACTGCAGCAGGGGACGTAGCAGACGGGCTCCTCTCCATGTGAATCTGGCCTGCAGATATAACTAAGGATTGAAAAGAAAAACAAAGGGGAGCATTAATTTTACACCTCGGTCACAGTGTGTGCAGCAACGTAGAACAAATGCACCAGCTAGCTGTGGAAATGGAGCGGAGGAATGTCATTCTGCCCTCGGATGCATGCAGCTGGCTGCCACTGGATACAGCAGGAATTTCATGCATGTATCCAAGGGAAGAACTTGGTCCGTAGTGTGTTATGGTGGAAGGGGCGGGGGGGGTGTGTGTGTTAAAGGAGATGAATTACTTCGGATAACAAAAGCTGCCTAGAGAGGGGTGCCTGAGGTAGTCGTCATGGCAGCAGAACGGGTGGGATTCTAATCCAGTGGTGAGCGGCAAGGGGAGCTGGATTTCTGGGGGCTCAGGCTGGAGCTTGGACTGTGAGCCAACCCCCACCCCTAGGCTTCAGAGCCTGAGCTCCAGCCCAAGCTGCAATGTCTACCTAGCTATGGAGTGTGGACAGGGCCTGTGGCAGAGTCAGGGGTTGAGCAGTGAGCACCCCCTGGCCCTTTGGAAAGTTGGCGCCTGTAGCTCCAGACCCGGAGTGGGTGCCTATACCAGGAGCCGCATATTAACTTCTGAAGAGACACATCTGGCTCTGGAGCCACAGGTTGGCCACCCCTGATGTAGACGGACCCTCCGAGAAAGCGGTCCACACCACTGAGCGTTTCCAATTCCAGTTCATTGTGCATTGACAAGCCTGCTGAAGGTAACAGAGAATTGTTGTTTTTATCCAACGTTTGCCAAGCAGAGCAATGAGAGTTCACATTAACACTATTGCTTCTATTTAGCCAGACCCAAAATTAGGCTTGGCAGAATTCAATTTTTATTTTATTTTTATAATTTCAGCAGATCATATCGATGTTTATTTTTAAGCATTTTTTCCAATTTTATCTATTTAAATGTTCAGTTATGCAAAATTATGGGATTTAAGCATCTTTTTCTGTGATCAATTTATATTTTCACAACTGTGGGAAATTTGGCATGGGGGTGTCAGACAATAATTACTTAATGGCAGTGTAGAGATTCAAAAAATTAAAGCTTTACAGCCATTAAAACATAAAGAGCCAACAGCACGTGTTTAAATATACAAAGCAAATATCCTTATGTCAAACGCTGATAAATTCTCACTTTCTTTCTTTGCCTATCTGTCAATTTCAATGATCATCAATGGAAATATTTTTTGTCAGTTTGTGTGAATAACCCTGAACTTGACATTTACCAACATTTACCAATAAAAAGCTAATCTGAGAGGGAGGCAAGCTGTTTATCTAAATGCAGGAACTCTTCCACAAGAAAAAGCTGGTGGTAACTATGCACATATCCATCTCCTTCAATCTGTGCAAACAGGATAATTATTAATGGACAAACAAAGAGCCAGCCCTGCTCCAGAATAACTGACGTGTTACAGTGGGGTGCACTCACTACTCACACAAGCAGACCTTATGTTGTGGCTATTCATATCAGGAAAGACCCTCTCTTTGCCAGATTGAGCCCTGATCCTTCAACATACAGAATTCTACAGTGCCTTTGTGTCACTCAAAATATAGAGAGGGGTGTGTGTGGTGGGGGGTGGGGGGCAATGTTACTTTTACTTACAAGGGGAAACAAAAGGACTTGACCTGAAGTGAAGAAGTTGAAGTGACGTCAAATGGGTATTGTCCCCCCTACAGTTATCTTGAGCTTTTTTCCGTTGCAAACGGTGGGCACAACCTACTTCCCAGGTTCCTGTGGGAACTGGGGAAACCAAACGGGAAGAGACGACAGGAAAACTGGAACCTTCTGTCTACAAATCAAAGTTGCCTGAGGCTGATCACCCCACAAGGCAGAGCCAAGAGGAGCAGTGCCCTCCCAGAAAGTGCTCCCTTCCTGTGCATGAGTGAGGAAGTGGAGACGGGTGGGGTGGAGTGGGGAGGGCTGGATGGGGGAGATGTGGGAAGGATGTAGGTCAGGAAGTCATAGCACTGTCGGGGGTATGTGGGTGCTTGGGGAGGGGACAGGAGCAGCAGCTTCTTCATTAACACTTGCAAGACAGAATACAAAACCCCCCTAATGTCTAGAATTGTAGCCCAGCTAAACATCCTACACAGCTCTGCACTCCTTACCAATGAAATAGAAAATATAGCCAGTAGCCACATGGAAAAAAAATGGTGATTGAGTAAGGTTTTTAGGTCAGCTGCTCTGCTGGCAGAATGGTGTAAAGTGGCCTTTGTGTAAATGAGAATCAAGCCCATGGATATTTCCATAGCATCCCAAAAAACACAGCAACACTGTGCAAAGGCAAACCTGGAAAGCCGTACTAAATGGTTTAATATATTGTGTCTGTTTCACAAACCTTTTATTTGCCCCATTTGGAAAAAGTATGCAGAATAACGTTAAAATGATCTGAAGAAGCATTTGCATGAATCTAGCAGATGCTTCATATTATCCAAATTGATAGCCAATTAGGATTGAACAGAGCAGTACCAAAGCAGCTCAGTGTTGGCCAAAGCACATTACAGAGTCTATGGAATACAGCAACATATATGCTAGTAAATTCACTCCCACACATTTGTACTTCAGTTTTTAATAATAATTTATATGCTACGGAAAGAATTAGTTAATCATAAAAATGCTTTATAAACACACTGCATCTCTCATCCAGAAGGATTTAAAAGCACTGCTCAAAGTACACGCACTTCAGATACTGCTAAAATGCAGTCATCACGGAAGTGGAAGACTTAAGCTGTTTAATAGCACAGTGCAACACTACATAGCAATTTAAAACTATGTAACGGTGGGCACTTCTTTATTCACAGAACCAGTACCTTCCACGTGTTTCATTAACAGTGAACTGGCTTCTGACTGTTTTTCAAATGTCTGTGTGCTCAATCTGGGCCAAATTCTGATACCCTTGGTCATACTGAGTAGTCCTTTACTCCTTAAGAAATCAGTCAATGAGAACTAATTGTAGAGATAAGATACTGTAGAACAGGATTTAAGGGGCTCACAATCTGCTCCTTTATCATTCAAATGCACTTTCTTGAAGTTTTTATACAGTGTTGTCCCTTTAAAAGTCTACATTTTGGGATCAAGGGTGGTGGTTTTTAAAGCAGCTGAGGGATGTCAACTAAATTTTCATTGCCACTGATGTTCAGATGCAAGATTGCAGCCTCTGCCTCATTCTGATACAAGCATGGACCCTGTATACAGCATTACACTTTACACACAGTGCTGCTCAGCTTTGCTAGAAGAACTCAAGAGCTAATTTCATGCATAAAGCTTTATGCAGTGTTCATTCCAATTCCTTAAGAAAGAGGTTTCAAATGTTTGATATGCATCAATAATTTATCTATCCCCTTCTGTATACCGTTTTGAATTACTTCTCTGTCCTCTCCTCATTGCAGCCCAAAGGCTTTGACTAAAGAGTTCAGAGTAGAGAAAGCAAGAATTTAATTTTAAAATAACCAATTAAAAACGAGCATTGATTTAAATAGAACATAAGCTCAACAGTGACAAACTCAAGACATTTGGGGGTAAAACAAGAAAAAATGGCTTCAAAATGTACAAGTGCAACTGTTTGTGTGCCCACCTTTCCAAAAACAAATGTCCTAATTGTGCCACACATCAGGTATTGCATGCACACAGTTCAGACTTGCACATGTCCTTCTGTAAATATGAGACAAGAGCAATGCATGCCTTTATTAGGTAATTAAGACTTCTAGGTGCCCAAGTTGCATGCACTTCAACACACAGTCAAACTGTGGAACTCCTTGCTAGGTGATGTTGTGAAGGCCAAAAATAAAACAGGGTTCAGAAAAGAACTAGATAACTTCATGTACGATAGGTCCATCAATGGCTATTAGCCAGGATGATCAATGATGCAATCCCATGCTCTGAGTGTCCCTAGCCTCTGTTTGCCAAAAACTGGGAGTGGATGACAGGGGATGGATCACTTGGTGATTGCCTGTTCTATTCATTCCCTGTGAGGCACCTGGCATTGGCCATCGTCAGAAGACAGGCTACTGGGCTAGACTGGACCAGTATGGCCAGTCTTATGTTCTTATGCACATACATCTGATTTTGGATATTCAAAAAACATGCAAGTACAATAGGGAGGACAGTCCAAAAATCAGAGCACTAGCCTGGGACTTGGGGGACCGCGATTCAATTCTTTGCTCTGCCACAGACATCCTGTGTGACCAGGGGCAAGTCACTTAGCCTCTCTGTGCCTCAGTTCCACCTCTGTGAAATGGGGATAATTGCACTTTCTTACCTCAAAGGGGGTTGTGAGGATAAATACACAGAAGACTGTACCTAAAACATAACATTTCTAGGCATGAATTTAGGAGGCTGGACTGAGGCTATATTGAAACTGTAGCCCTTGGTGTGTGTGTGAAATACATATCATATGGGAAGAAAAGCAAAGCAAATCGGAGAGCTAAAGGGAAAACAGAAAGCATCAGAATCTCCTGGCACAGAAAAATCAGTGGTATAACGTAAGGCAGGAAACCCCCAGCAGCTTCTCTACTAATCTTTTTCAGAGCAGACTGTAAGCAATTTGCAAGTGGCTTCTGCTAAATGTGTAAATGCTGCCATGCAGGAGAAGTCTAGCTGGGGGTAAGATAATAATGTAAAATATGTTACTCCCACTGCAGCCCACTGTGTAGCATTAAAAGAAAGTAACATACAATGATTAAAAGGAGCAGGCCTGACAAAAGGCAAGAGGGAAGGGAGGATGAAGTGACCTGCAATAATATGTAGTAGTAGCTATTTAGAGAGCTGAGAAGTTACCACAGAACCAAGATGGCTTTAGGAGCAATACATAGCTTTTCTCCTGCCAGGGAACTTCCACTGATGTCAGGGAGAACAGAGTGTGGTCAGCAAGTGAGCCTAAGCAAACAAACAGTTTATGTCCATCTGTAGGATTACAAGTCAGGAGCAGGCAGGGAGAGAAGAATATATACACTTTATCTTTATGCTTTGGAGGCGTTTACTGAGGAAGGTGCTG